GCGGGGGGCGGGGGGCGCCCGGTTCTCCGAGGCCACGGTGGCCGGGGCCTCGGTGGGGTCCGCGGCCCGCAGCCGCCCCCTCCCCTGCAGGCCCCGCTGCCAGCCAGGTGACTCAGCACCCGCCCGGATCAACAGGACCTTCGCCCCTTTCCCTCTCCCAGGCTGAGCCGGCTGCCGCTCCCCCTCCCAGAACTCCCCGCCGCCAGCGCCCGGCCAACATGCCCGCGGGCCCGGCCGCCGGGGGCCAGCGCTGGGTCATGCGGCTCACCTACGTGCTCACCACCCTGGAGCTCACCACGCTCTTCATGCAGTTCTCCGTCCTGCCAGTGAGTAGCCCCCCCACCCCACACACAACACCCGGTCTTCCCTGATCCCCTGCTGCCGTCTGTGCCCGGGCTGGAGGAAGTGTCCCCCCCACACCCCGTGGTAACAAGGGAGTTGGAAGAACTGGAGAAGGCCCCTCCCCCCCCCACTCCTTTCTGTGCCGTCTGGAGGGAGCCATGCATGCATGGCCTTGGCCGCCAGACGCTTCAAAGTCCCCTGGAAGCCGCGCACGCGTGGCTCACACCCATCGCACTAGTTATCCGGGAGGCCGAGCTCTGAGGGCCGTGGTTTGAAGCCAGCCCAGGCAGGAAACTTTATGAGACGCTTATCTCCAATGAACCAGCAAAAAGCCAGATGTGGGGCTATGGTTCGCATGGTAGAGCACCAGCCCTGAGTACAAAAGCTCAAGGACAGCTCCTGGGCACTGACTTCAAGCCCCAGGACAGGCACAAAACCAAAGAAAAGTGGAGACGCTCAGAGACGCTCGGATGCTCTGGAGATACTTGGAGACCAGGCTAGCGGTTGAGGGGCTGTGTTGGCTCCACGCTGGGCTTGAGGTCCACTCAGAGTGTGACCCACTCCCTCAGTGTGGCCAGCAGGCCAGAACTGGGGCTCCAGGGCCAACGTTGGTCCTGACTAACCCTTGTTCCCCCTTACCTTAGCCCCCAAGTTGGAGGCCCAAGGACACTGGGAACAAAGTCACACATCACCAAAGCCCAGCCCCCCCCCCATTTCTGGCCCCAGGAACATGGCAGGGCCCAGAGCCTGCTGCCCTCACCCCTGGCCTGGGGATGGGGGCTGAGTTAGCACTGGTCTTTGTCACCCCTAAGGCACGGCAGGCACTTCCAGCCCTGGGCCCCTCCCTGAGCCCAGGGCTGGCTCCAGCGCCCCCTCACACCTCCCCCAGCCGCTTGGCCAGGTCCTGGCTTCCTGACATAAAACGACCAGGGCGGCCCCTCCCTCCCAGGGCCAGGGTCAGGAGAGTGCTCCTGAGCCCCAGAGCCGCCTGGGGCCGCCCCTAGCTTTCTGCTTCTCTGTGGGGCCAGCCATGCTGAGCAGAGCGCAGAGACACCCCAGTCTGCGACCGGGAAACAGCAGGGCAGCACCTGCCCTGAACCACCGGCACCCCTACAGCTGGCAGCCATGTGTGTTAGGGGAGGGGTGGTGATGGACGGGCAGCGGTGCCACAGAGGGTGAGACTCACCCCAGCGGGAGAGAGCAGCTGGCGGGGCAGGGGCACTGAGAGCAGGGAAGCAGCGGAGGGCGTCGCTGCAAAGGCCAGGAGCAAAGGCGAAGGCTGCGCTCCCCTGCCAAGGTCCTGGGGGAGGGGGAGTCGGTGCAGACGGACAGGGGTGAATGGAGACCAGGAGTGTACCCACATCCGGCCAGCTCTGAGAGCAGTGGACGGCGGGGACAGTGGGCCACAGAGGCGGCCGTGATCCCCGGCCTGCCCGAGGCATGCAGCCTGATAGAAGGGGCAGGGATCCCGCCGCGCCTGGCCAGGACAAAGCACTGGCAGCGGAGAATGGGCGACAAAGAAGCCCGTGTTGGAGAGGGTGGGGTTGAGAGAGCCCGGCCGTGGTGGAGCCCTGGGGAGGGGCATGCTGGGGTCGTGGCTCAGGGTCTCGGACACCAGTGAGCTCCTCCGAAGGAGGGAGGCCAAGGGTCAGGGGAGCAAGAGCACAGGCAGAGATGGCTGCTGAGGGACGGGGCCCAGGACAGAGGAAGCAGGCAGCCACGGGGCAGGTGCCACTGAAGCTGACCACGGAGCCTCGTGAGAAGGGAGAGGTTGCGAGAGGCAGGGCTGGGGGAGACCCCCTGCCGCGTACCAATCCAGAGCCCCACGGGTGGTGGCTGGAGTGGAGAAGAAAGAGAGGAGGGGAGGCAGAGGAGGAGGAGGAAGGCAGAAGTAACCACAGCAAGTTGGAGGAGCTCCCCAAGGAGCCGGGTAACGGTGGCTCACTTTTAATCCCTAGCTTCTCAGGAGGCTGAAATCTGAGGCTCATGATTCAAAGCCAGCGAGGCTAGGAAAGTCAGTGAGACTCTTTATCTCCAATTAACTACCAAAAACATAAAATAAAAGACAGAAGTGGAGCTGTGGCTCAAGTGGTAGAGTGATAACCTTGAGCCAGCAGCTCTGGCCTGTAATCCTAGCTACACCGGAGGCTGAGATCTGAGGATCACAGTTTAAAGCCAGCCCTGGCAGGAAAGTCCATGAGACTCTTATCTCCAATTAACCACCAGTAAACTTAAAGCAGTGCTGTGGCTCAAGTGGTAGAGCACTTGCCTTGAGCTGAGGAGCTGAGGGACAGCGCCCAGGCCCAGAGTTCAAGCC